AGAGATTACATTCAGAGTAAAACATACAAGTATTACCAAATTGTTATCATCTCGAGCCAGCACGTCTTCAGGCTGAAAAGGGTGTAAGGCCACAGAGCTAATCCGTCGGGTATAGGCCCAAGCTTGATCTGTATGGTCAGAAGTTCCTAAGCAACCAAACCAACCCTACGATGGATAAACCCGTATTCTCAATCATTGGACACCACCACCAATTGCAGACCGGTTTCGAGCTTGTTGTGCTCTCATCAGTGCAATATAGGCGAAAGCACAAAACTCAGAGAAACAGGTTTGGGGGAGATTCAATCGATAAGAAGGATATAGTATAGATCTTTATTAGCGCGTGGCTAAATCTCTCCATAGTCTCATAAAGCTCTGAGTTGTGTGGTTTCGCCTATATTGAACTGATGAGAGCATAACAAGCTCGAAACCGGTCTGCAATTGGTGGCTTAATGCTTGAGAATTCTTACGGGCAAAACCGCCCGTATCACATAAAGGACATCGCGCACATCTTATGGGTTTTCGGGGACCGGTCGATTTTTTAAAAAATTTGGTATGTTGTAGTTCTAGCAAAAATAAGCATTTTTCATCAATGCACCAAATCTCTAAGTATACAGGGTGACCCAGTAAAGTGGGTCCGGATATCATAAAACAAGCCTTTTAATTATCGATGTTAGCGCACCCTGCAAGCTACATATTGGGATTTTTGTTTTCGATTTCGCAATAAATAGTCAAGATATGCCTAATATGCTATAAAGGGTGGCTAAGCAAGCGTATCTTCTAGAAATCCTGCCCTATTCTTAGAAATAGTGTTACCAAAAAGGTCGCACTGGCTTTCATTTGCTCGTAACTTTATTAATGCCCAAAGTTATAGCACCAACTTATTAATTATTATACAGGGTGTCCCAGCCGAGAGTGACCCATTTCACATGCCAATCTATAACTTTTAAACCAGGTGTGCTAGCTACCTGCGGGTGGCACCATCCAACTTCTCTTGGCTTAGAGTTTTTTTTAGTTGGTTGCAAACTTTTTCGATAAGTACTTATTCAGAGCCAGGAAGGAAAAAAAAAACGTTTTTTCTGACTGTTCTCAACCAATGAAATTCGCACTGACTGGTTTTTGATTTCTGCAAAAACAGACGTTATATCACGCACGCTGAATATGTGTGAGTATCTCCATATCACGCGGAATTGTGACAACCGATGAATTGTGATTAGGTAATTACTCTGCGTGCATGCAGCGTCTGACTCAAAATGAGCGGCTGCAACCAGTGTCTGTACCCATATTGGGCGGCCGAGATAACACTCGCCAACACGCTTAGCAAGCGTGGCGTTTCAATTGCCATCAACCTCCCCAAAACGATGTTACAGTTGAAATCCAAAACAAGATTACCCCAGATGGGTAGAGCTCGAGCCTCATAGAATCCCATTCCGATATAAAATGGGGCAGCCTCACGGACTCTGAGGGAGGCAAGAGATCGACGAAAAACAACAAACCAAGGCAGACTATTTACATTGTTAATTATAATATAAGGACGATGAGAACAAGCGAGCACTTAGAGAACTAAAGGAAAAACTGAGAAATATTAAGTAGGACATAGTAGGGCTATGCGAAACATGGTTGCAAGGAGAAAAAGTTACTACTCTAAATTCTGGGCACAACCTTTTTCAAAACAACTCAGAGATCAACTATAGCCAGGGGGGAGTGACTTTTATCGTTAACAATCAATTCAAACACCTTATTAATAAATACCAAGCACTATCAAACAGGGTGATATACTTGGAAATAAGCCTAAACAAAAGATACACTATCCAACTGATACACTGCTGCGCACCTATAAGTACAGCGACCAACGAAATGATAGAAGAAGTATACGAAGACATTACACGGGCCTGAAACCTCGAAAACACTCAATATGTAATTATTACAGAGGACTTTAACGCCAAGGTAGAAAAGAAACAACCAAGTGATACATGCTACATAGGGAACTTTGGTCAGGGAGAACGAAACGAACGAGGAAATACGCTCGTAAACTTCTTAAACAACGAAAAACTCTACTGTATGAACACCTTCCAAAAACAAACTCAAAGGAAGTGGACGTGGCGAAGCCCAGGCGGACTGGTGAAAAATGAAATAGACTCCATCCTTGCAAACAGAAACACTATCTGCAAAGATGTCACAGTGCCAAACAGGTTTGACACAGGAAGCGACCATAGACTAGTGCGTGCCAAGATACAAACACCAACATAGAAAGGAGAAGACTAATAACCAGACATTAATTCCCTACAAGAGATGCCCTGCAACTCAATCAGGAAACCTATAAAAAAAAACTGGAGAAGAAGCTAAGGCCAGCGACACTCCAGGGACAATTATATAGATGAAATCCTCAATAAAATATCACATGGCATAACTACAGCCACAAAGAAAACATGCAGTAGGATAAGGCAGAGATCAGATACCAAATTAAAACCAGAGACGATAGACCTAATAAGAAAAAAAAAAAAAAAATGACAGAGACTTCCCAGAATATAATACCCTAAATAAAACAACGAAAAAAGAAATAAGAAAAGACCTAAGAGAAAATAAAACAAGCAAGATCCTGGAAACTATAGACAAAAATAAAGGCATATGAGAGTTCTAAGATCGAACGAAGAGAGGGGAAAACAAAAAATTGTAAAAATAAAAAACATTCAAGGAAACCTTATCACAGACAAACAGGAAATTAGAAGGGAAATACAAATAGTCTACGAACAGGTCTATCAAACAACTATACCAAGCCCAAATGGACCACCTAAACACATTACTCAGAAGACATGCCGGAAATATCACCATCAGAAATTAAATACGCACTCCAATAGATGAAAAACGGCAAGAGTCCGAGAGAAGAATAACACCGGAAATGCTGAAGATGGGTGGAAAAACACTAACAGGGACAATAGGAATGCTGTTAAACAAATGTCTGATAAAGGGAAAAATCCCGAAATCATGGAAAAATGCCGAAGTCGTGATAATATATAAGAAAGGGGATGGCTCAAATATAGAAAACTATAGACCAATAAGCCTACTATCACACCTATATGAACTTTCCACTAGAATTATCAACAATCGACTGACTGCCAAGGTAGACTCCTACCAACCGGTAGAACAAGCAAGCTTTCGAAGGGGCTTTAGCACTAGAGCCCATCTGCAAACAATTAGGGCAGTCATCGAGAAAACAACAGAATATAACATACCCCTACATCTGGCATTTGTGGACTACCAGAAAGCCTTTGACAGCGTTGTCTTTTCTAGCGACGATGGAGGACGCAAGAATCGATTCGAGATACTTTACCCTTATTAAGAATATCTATGATAAGGCAACCTTTCACGTTAAAATAAACGAAGATCTTAAAACAGACAAAATATCAGTTGGCAAAGGAGTACGACAGGGGGATATCATCTCTCCCAAGCTATTTACCCTAGCACTGGAGAATATTTTTAAGAAGTTGGAATGGGAAAACAAGGGCTTAAACATCAATAGAGCATACCTCAATCACCTCAGATTTGCAGACGGTATAGTCTTGATGAGCACAAACATTCAAGAACTGAACAACATGCTAAATGAGCTAAATGAGCAATCCAAGAAAAGGCCTAAAAATGAACCTGAACAAGACCAAAATAATGCGCAAAAATGAATGTAACATCACCATAGACAACGTTATCATAGAAAATGTAGAACATTACATATACTTAGGACATAAAATCAAGCTGGGCGGAAATCAAACGCAGGATCCATTTGGCATGGATGGCATTCGGAAACATGAACTTAATTTTTAAAAATAAAAAGGTACCCATAAAACTAAAAAGGAAAGCCTACGACAGCTGTATTCTGCCGGTATGCATGGATGAGATAAGCGAGAAAACGCGGGACATGGAAAAACTTGGAAGAGGCCTATATCCGACAATGGATGGACACCGGTTGACGGAGAAGAATTACTCTCAACATTACCCTTTTGGGTCTTGTTTTCAATTTCAAACTGGATTTAATGATTGTAAGAAACCACGTTCAAATAAAAAAGTATACTTTATCACTTTCCGCTTTCCGCCATCTCGTATTTTATCTTATTTCTAATTTCTTCGATTTCGTGACATCTTGTAAGACCACATTTCTTTAAATCGGACAAAAACTAAAAAAGTTACGGGCAAATAAAATCCAGCGCGACCTTTTGGTAACAGTATTTCTAAGAAATAGGGCAGGATTTCTAAAAGAATACGTTAGCTTAGCCACCCTGTTTATAGTATGCTTTTCTAGACTATTTACTTGCGAAAGTGAAAACAAAAATCCCGATATGTACCTTGCAGCATCGATAACTAAAAGACTTGTTTTTTTCGGATTTTCGGACTCACTTTACTGGGTCACCCTGTATAGTTAGAGATTTGGTGCAATGATGAAAAATGCTTATTTTTGCACATACCAAATTTTTAAAAAAATCGACCGGTCCCCGAAAACCCATAAGATGTGTGCGATGTCCTTTGACCGTGTCAGAGTAATACAAACTCATAGTATGAGTAATTAACAGTGTGTTGAAGCTTTGGTAAAAATATTTGTGTTACCTTAAGAAATGTTCAAACGTCTTCGCGAGTTTTTCAACTAAAGGTTCTTGCAAAGCTCTACAGCAACAAAGTTAATAACTTCGCTGGCCGTGTATTGTATATTGATACACGGCCAGCGTACAAAAGGGTTTAAATGTTAACTGTATACGTCCTAATCGTACATAAATACTCATCATTTACCTACGACCGCTACTGAAACTATCAAATCTCACAGTACGTACTCTCTATGTAAGATGAATGTTACACAACGTGAAGACAACCTTACTGTAAGACACTTTTTGTTAAATAATGCATACAAATCTGGTCGTATGATAAAGTAATGATATACCTCTTTATCAAAAATTGCCTATCCATGCGATTAGGTTCTCGCCGTTTTTCCAATCGTGCTAAATTTGCTATTATTAACTTACCATTTGCACTATAGTTAATCTTGGTTTCCACTTTTCTAGAGGCTTTTGCCAAGCTGGTCCCAAAGAAGCTAAATAATAGTATGTGTACATTAATATATGAACCAAAGAATTTATTATTACTGTAACCGATGCCATTCCACCTAAAATTGATAAAAGTATACTTATTAACCCAAAAAAATAAATAAATATATATCAATAATTTTTTTACCTCCAACAAATCTGCATATGAAATAATTCATGATTAAGGTAGAACTGTGATGATACACATGTAACTTTGTTACTTGCTTATTTTTTTTTCTAAGAACAAAAAATACTGTTTCCAATAATTCTGTTATTTTCAGAAAATAGGCCCACTGAAATCCTTGTAGCAGAGATAAAGCGCGTGGACTACTGGAATAGTCTACAGCTTGGCAACCGATGGTGAAGTCTCCCTGGATCCATCCAGATGTCAAACACTATAGAAGAAATCTGCTTCAAAATATTTTCTTTGCAACAGGGTCAATATGTTACTTACCCAATAAACTATGAATGCACATGTGATTATTTGAAAAATATTATAAAATTTTAAAATCGTATTCAGTTTGTAAGGCTCCCGATTTTTCATAAAAATAGGTAGAACAATGTATATCGAAGTCAAATAAATTAGAATTATATTAATTGTAGGCCAAAAACTAGATACAAATAGCCAACCAGATACTCTTTGGTCTAAAACAAAGGTTTAAAAGTTACATTGAAAAAATAAAAAATAAAAATGTATGCACTTACCTTCTCTACTTGCAATAAAGTTTTCAATATACCCTATTATTGAAGTCATATTTTCAATCAATAACACAGGCACCTATGGATTTCAACAAAAAATTCTTATTTTACTGTTAGATACATTCACAAAGCTATTCCTGAATCATCATTTTTGAAAAACAGATTTTTCGACGCTAAATTATTCAAATGCTTTATGAGGTTGGCGAGGTACGATATTATGGAAGACATCAATTTTTGAAAAACTTATTTAGTGCGACCTGTTCAAACTGCTGATATGCTCTATTTAATAAGAATGTTCACTATTTTTCAATTGTAATAAAAAGTGGTGCTTCTAGGTCCACAAAACACGTATTAAGCGGTAAAACATCTAGAAACCCTTTATTTTTTCTGAAAAATCAAAAACAAAAAAATGAAATTAGCGAGACTAGCAAAACAACCCCCTGCGGCGAGAGTAGCGCTTCTTACGTCACTGCGCGGAACGAACAATCAGCTGGCGCGTTAGCGAGATTTGTTTACAAGTTTACATTGATTGTGTTGCTGATTGTTGCTTTATCCCATTGACTTTATCCCAAGAAGCTTTATTCACTCTAATTATCTGTGTTTGTATAATGATGGGAGACTTGGGAGACTCAAACAAAGTTAAACCGAGTCGAAACAAGTGGTACCTACGAACGTGTTTTCCTACGACGTGTTTTCCTACGAGGTGCGGAAATGTGGTACTTTCGGCACGCAAATCGGTGCATGGAGACGCGTTTTCCGAACGCTCGTAGGAAAAATATGTCTAACACGAGCGTAAAGTATGTTTTCGCACTTGCGGCTTGCACGAATTCCACTGGCGCGTCGTTCGCGTTCCTGCAAATACCCTTGCGTGCGGAAAAGTATAACTTTCCGCACTTGTTATGGGTAAAAACTATATCACTATTCAAATTCAACTATACCTATGTCTAATGCGTCTGTTTTACTTCTACACCACTGGACTGGGGTTGATTCAAGTTTTGACATTTGACGAAAAATTCTGATATCATAGTAACGTCCACAGTTGACAGATTATGTGTGAAAACCTTCCTCCATTTCAGCCATAGTATCTGTTCCACCTTAATTTCGATAAACCCTAACACAGAGAATAGAGATCGACACGAAGGAGATAGCAGCATTATCAAAATACTTGTTAAGCGTTGAACAGACTCTCTTGTTAAATTAAAACCTGACCATAATCATAATAACAATAATATTAATAATAATATTCTTTATTGCTAACAAAAATCGCAAAAGCAATGTTATAAAAGGCTGATCCAAGTAGGTGGTAGCGCCACTGTACTTGCGCACGCTAACTCGTTACGCATTGTGACGTCAGAGAGCGTTTCTTACGTTTAAACGAATATTGATATTTCATCTCCGTTTTTCTCATAGAAAGAATTCTCTGATTTTCGTAAAATTTTGTAGATTTAATTAAGAAACGATGCTTAATAATTTGATGATTGGTAAACGGGATTTTTTTATTTTGTGAACATCCCTATCATCATAAATACTAAATTCTTGGAACAAATATCGTAAACCATAATCTGTATCTGTAAGTTTGAGAGGGTGGTATGGTATGCCATAGCACTTAGAAGTCATCCTTAGCTCGTCACCCAGCCTAGCGATTCCACGTAGGTGATGACGTCGCCGAGGGCGGTGCCTCTGATCTCTGCTAGCGATGGATACGAAGAGCAGTGCAGTCACAGCCCTACACAAGGATGTGGTACCGAGATGCAACCTAAACAAATGTTTGTTTTACCGACAATCAACGACAGCTTCTCGTTCACTGCAGCTTTACCTAAACCATAATAAAATCTAATTATTAAACCCAACAGAGTGCGAAAATTTATTGAGCCGATTTGAGGATTTGATAACTTGGAAGAAAAAGAAAATGTAAAACGTTAGCCAATTCCAGGAGTGTTTTGGGGAAGCTTGAAGAAATTATTTGCTCTTTCAGCTTGACCGGCTTTTACTTCTATAAAGTTTTTTTGCAGCCTGTCTATACTTTATCCATTTGTTGAGATTGCTTTGAAGCGATGGATATTTTTTTTGCATATAGAGCAAAAATATTCATATCTGGACTAGAGGAGCCAATTTGGATTATGAATTTTTGACGTGAGCTTAGCAGTGTCTTCAGCAGCTACTTATCTTTTTCTGGATGCGGAGTTGTACATCCTAGATATTCTAGTGGAACGATGCCTGATCGGGAAGTTTTCATGCTTTTTGATCGAGATAAGCTCCTGCATTTGAAATTAGTACAGCCTCGTGAAATTTGGCTCCCAGATCTGGACCTGGAACGACTTTTCTGCCTTATAATCTCTTCTATTTATGGCTCTTGCAATTATATTCAAAAACTGCAATAAATCCGTGTGATCCAACTATTCTATGTAGTTCTCCAGACAATCCTGCTTTCTCAGTTGGGAATTGTAGAGCCACTTATGCCCTACTCAGTGCCCTCCTATTTTTCCTGTGAAGCCTGCTCTATGGAAAGTTTGTCAACGTATAACCTATACCTACTCGGTTCAGCTAACAACTTCTCATTTGTGTTATATTGATGAGTGACTAGTTCATTTATGGTTTGTTTCATTGACACATTGAGATGGTCACCTACGCATGTATAACCAGGAAGCAATAATATTATCCAATGAAGCCTGGCTCATCTCACTTCACTTCATTAACAAAGATACGATAAACTTCTAATTACCAAAACAATGCAAGAATTATTAATTCTTTTACTTCCAATATTAAAACAGTAGCCTAGTGGACGATTTTGTCAAACGCTTTTTTTCCGAAGCAATGAGATTTATTGTTTCCATAATATCGTACCTCGCCAACCTAAGTGGGGCCTGGGTACAACTATAACCATTAAAACGTAATTTAAAATTGTTTGTTTCGGCAAGTTTAAATTACCATTGCAAATAACTGTTTAGTATTTTCTATTTCTACTATGCGTATTGTATTCCTTGACCCTATTTTGATCTATTTACTTGAATGTTAATGCCACTTTCGAGAAATCAATGTCGACATCAGTGATGAAAACAACTCACACTCAAACATTTGCCAAAACAAAAATCTGCGAAGATCATAGGCGTTCGAGAAGGTTAAGAACAGCAAATTCCAATGAAAAGAATTTCAATGCCATCAAAAATTAGAAGGAGTGCTCGGAACTTTTCACCTGACCTCTAGATACTAAAAAAATATAAACTTTTTGACTTACTTTTTTAAAAATTTATATTTTGGAACAGTAATCTATTTTATAAATTAATGATTTATGCGTTAGCCTCCGACCTTTTCTTTCAAACTATAAATTATATGTTTAAACTCCATAATAAACTTGGTACAAAGTCAGTCGGCAGACAATACAACCACAAGATTTTATCAGTATATAAAATCGTGTGGCGTTCCCTTAAATTTTCACCAACCCCTATTTATTTTCTAGGAAGGTCTGCTAATTTCCTGTGTATACGCAATCCAGACTAAATCGAGGAGGGTGTTAGAAAATTAGTATTAAGTTAAAGGATCAGTCGAGTGGCCTCACCATATTTTTTTTCCGTATAAATTAAATTACCTACTTATGATAACATAATAAATGACTTTCACTAGCGTCCATTACAAAAAATCGATACAACATTTTTCATGCCAGGCTACAAAAAAATGCGGCTTTATAAAGCGAAGCAAGAGAAAAACCTAAGTGCCCCGATATTTTTCAGATTTTTTAGGCAAAATAAAAGTAATTTGGATGGTTAAATAATGAATATTTTATTAGTTCTCTCATCTGGTGCAGGTTGATTTGTTGTTTGATCAAGATTTTTATTTTCAATAATTGGCACGCAACGTACCTACGTCAGTATAAAATCAGGAAGCTTATAACAGAAAGTCTCAAACCATTACTTAAGCTTTTTGTTATTAAGTTTCCTGAATTTTTACTGACGTAGGTAAGTTGCGTCCCAATAAAGCTTGACCAAACAACAAAGTAACCACAGTCCACAGATTTTCTTAATTCGAATAGCACTTTTAGCCACTAAATTACCAACTTGCTCTTCAAGAACAATTCTGAGCATTTCCATTCAAATGAAATATTTTCAATTACGTTTATTATTGTACGGTAGATTTTATCAAAAAAAAGCCAGATGTAGCTTTAAGCTTTCGCATTATTTACCGTTTTAGCTTTTTTGACAAATCGACGCAATTCATATTCAAAAGTGGTGCCTCATTTAATTCTTTTGATACAAACAATCATACAAATTTGCTTCTGGCTTCTATGAGAGTGGAGTTCTGACAAAAACCAGTCGGTCCATTTCTAGCATACCCCCCGTTTTTATTCTAATCAGTGACTTAACCGATGAGTAAGCTTGTTACAAATAAAGTTAGTTTATTTTAACTTTAAGACAAGAGAACCTATAGGGCCGTGGAATTCAAAAATAAAGATAACGTGTAGCCCCTTTATGTGCAAATGAAACCACTCAAATTTTAACAAATAATAATTTTATTTTCACAATTTAAATATTTGCAAATGTAACAATGCAAGTAACAAGTTGCTTTTGAAAATTTGACAGTTAGCAGTTTGGTTGTTCTGGTGACACACTGATACTGTATGTACCTTTATCAATCCGGAGCTCTTTGATCTGGGGTTTCACTTCCGTGAAGTGGAGCTCTTCGTGTTATTTTCTGTATCCAGAGAAGAGGACAGATTGCTGGTGTGACGTCACTCCAGCTGATCCAGACTCCAAATAGTGAACTTTATGTCGAGTAGGTACCCATAAAAGAATAAGGCAGCATCAGGTTCACCAAGATTTGGAATATATCCCTGAATTCTGTTAGAAAGCGAATGTCTTGCAAAGAAGATTTAAATTGAATTGAATTAGTTTATTCTAAAACTATTGTTGCGCAGTCACTCCTTTCCAATATAATCAGGTAAGTATGAGTAACTTTTGCAAATTGGAAAAATATTTTAATATAGGTATACAAAAAAAAAAACAATTAAATAATTGAAAATAATGATAAACTAATAGTTAAATAGGCAAATACAGCAAGATTAAATTAAAATGCTCATTATAATTGAGCTTTTCGGGCAGTAGCAATAAACAGGCAAAAC